CCCCCAACTGCAGTCACGCGTCCTCCTTTTTTAATGGGCGTGAACTAGGAATATGGAGGGTAGACATTTATTATACTTTTCCAACTGGTTGTTCCTTTCTATTGTAGCTCCTGTGAGCGAGTCAAAGCTTGATTCACATAGGCCACCAAACAATGTTAGGAGAAGGCTTTGAGATGGTTAGGCCTTTGAGTTTGTTCTCGAGTGTTGTGTGGTGTTGTTTGAAACTGTTTATATGTCACAAAAGGCTGCTTTCATTTCAATGAAAAACAAGTTCACCCACGAGAACCAATGACACTGTCTTTTAAAGCTTTTTTTTTGGGGGGGGGGGGGCACAATTAGCTCAGCTGGTATTTTTCTTGACTGCGATGCCAGGTACCCCCATATGAATTTCCGACTGGACATTCTTGAAATTGGGTTATTTTAAGAGTTTTCAATACCCCCAGGCCACTTAGCTCGGTCCTGTCGAAGTTGAAGATCATGGCAGAGGTCCCAGATCCTGACGAAAAATCTACCTGTGTTGAAGTGGGCGTTAAATGAAGCCTAAAAGTACAGCAGTCACATAAGAAAATCAATCGATGTCAAGTGATTTTTGGAATGTGATCTAAAACTTAAAAAACAAATCAATCCCTGACTTTAAAGGAAGGCCTTTATCTTCTATCAGCAAAAGTGCCTTCGCGTGTTTGACATCTCTAACTATGAAAAACGTAGTTTGTGACCTACTCTGAGTTTGTGCGCTACAGTGTAAGACTACTCGCGAATAAAGTAGTACCTGTATTTTCTTCAAGCTCTGTTTTTTAAACTACCCATTTTGGTTTTTCCACTGTGTAGCTGTGACATCATTCGCCACTTGGGCGTGTCTGGCCAGCGAGCTCCTGGTGTGTGCTGTCCACCCGTTCCCAGGAGACATCAAGGCTTACATGTCCACGATTGGCGGGCACATGGGGAAATATCACATGGACGGCATCCTCTCGGTGCTGATGATGTTCAGGCTATATCTCGTAGGTCAGTCGGTGTGGGTACTGTGTTATTTGTGGTCAATCATTTGCCCAGCCCTGGACACGAAGTAGACCAGAGAGAGAGAGAGAGAGAGAGAGAGAGAGAGAGAGAGAGAGAGAGAGAGAGAGAGAGAGAGAGAGAGAGATAAAGAGAGAAAGAGAGAGAGAAAAAGAGAGAGAGAGAGTTTGTGTGTTTGTGGGTGTGTGGGTGTGTTTGTGTGTGTGAGAGAGAGAGGGTGAGTGAGAGAGAGAGAGAGAGAGAGAGAGAGAGAGAGAGAGAGAGAGAGAGAGAGAGAGAGAGAGAGGAGAAAGCAAGTCAATGTACTTTTATTAATATTTCCCACAACCAGGACATATTTCTTATTATGAGGTGAATGAAGTATTAGATATTCAAAGCCATGTGCTTTTCATGAAGGAAGTAGATTGCTCTGACCTTCTCTTTATATTGTCTTCTCTGTGAATGTATGTATGGGTTTTCCTCTTACCTGTATCTCTTGTCTCGATGAGAACTTAAAAGATTAGTGGGTTAAGTATATTTGTGTGACATGGGTCCTCTGCTTTTTCACTGTTACGAGTCATATGAATTTGTAACGGATTTATGATAGTGATTTTGAAAGAATGAAGCTACACTTCGTATTTCTACTACTGTTCTGATAGCCCGTTGTCTGCTTATAAACTAGTCACTCCAACATTGTCTGAGCATTCACCTACCTCTTCCCTCCCCTCCTCATTCCTTTCCTTTCCCGTTCCTGGCATCACGATCCCTTTCCATCTCATAAAAACTTAATGTTTCAGGTCGTTTTCTGGTGGTGCACTCCCCACTCCTAACTGACGAGTCCACGCAGACCATCTCAGCAGTGAGCCACGTCAAGATATCCATGTTTTTTGTTTTCAAGGCCGCCATGAGCGACCACCCGGGCACGGTGATCACCCTCACAATGCTCTCTATGTACACCATCAGCGTGTGGGCCATGCGCACGTGCGAGATGTACTACACGAGCATCGACGAGGCGCACAGCTTTACGGAGTCCATGTGGCTCTCTGCCATCACCTTCCTAACTGTCGGCTACGGAGATCTCACGCCAGAAACTCACTGTGGGCGATTTATCGCTATCGTCACCGGCCTTATGGGGCTTGCGTCCACCGCCCTACTTGTCGCAGTCGTCGCTAAAAAGTTGGAGCAGACCAGATCGGAGAGGTACGTGTTCAACTACCTGTCTCTCATCCACCTGGAACACAAGCGGAAAGGTGCAGCCGCTGACGTAATCAAGTTTGCCATAAAGGTGTACACCTTGAAAAAGATTCTGGCCCGACACAACAGCAAGATGAACAGGATGAACGTGACATACATGTCCTGGCGTTTAAGTAACTCCATCCGTGCCATGAGATCGACGCGGGTAGCTCGACTTCGTGTGGAGGAAGCATCAGTCGGTTTGACAGAGCTCAGTCAACAGGTTTCACAGACACAGTCGCTTATCTCCATGCTTGCAACGTCTCAGGGTCAAATCCTGGACAAACTGACCGACCTGCAAGAGCGGGTAAGGGAGAGGGACTACGACGAAGATATCTTCAGCACGGATGAGGGGACGGGGAAGGATGACAGAGGAAGTCGTGACCCCGGGAAAGACGAGGCGGAGTCTGGTTGGCTCGGCACTGGGCTGTTGAAAAACTTGTATCGACAAAACCCTGGAGATAACTGAATTTTGCCATTGAGTGTTTTCTCTTTTCTAAGAAACTCCAGACCAAACGACAACCACCGATGCTTGAATTATAAACCGATGAGATTCAGCACATTGTGTCTCGTTTTCACAAATTTAATAGCCCTGAAAAGAGCTGTGCTGTTTGTTTTCTGAACCTGCTATTGCTTCCTGACTGTCTGCTACTTGACATAATCTGACCACGAGAACAAAACTCTTTCACTTCGAGCTGAAGAATCAGTTATTGGTGGTTGCCGAGAATTGCAAAGATATTTAATTATTTACGTCAGCTTCATACGAGATTGCGTTGAGAGTGACCCAGATTCGATTCATAATGTGGCATTCTAAACCTTTGTGAATGGGTTTTCCGTGGTTTTCCATCAACTTCAATCTCTCTCTTTAGGTGACAAACATTAATTGTAAAATCGTCGGTCTGCCTCATAAATAACTAAACCGATGAAAGGGGAATTAAACCCTACTAAAGAAACATTGCAACAAAATGTTTTCGTTTTTGTCAAAGTTTGGAGGCGTTAATCCTAAAACTTCTTTACATTACACTGAAAAGTTGGTAAATGACCAAACGCTTCGGCCATACTGAAATGGGATGCAACTTAAGACTTCAACATAAGTTAAGGACCACCTTGAGAGACAGTCCTGATTTTTAAAAGTGTCAATGGGTTACCAAAGCGTACTGCAAAACCTCCCTAAAGTGGCAAAACCATCACGTGCAGAACGGAAATCCTCAAGGAATTTTAGCCAAATTTGCTGTTTATTATCGACTTGTGTGCAACACCACGGACATTCCTCAGTTAAAATTTCTGGTGCGCGTGAAAGACGGACGTAAGGTCTCGAACTGTGCTCACGTTGGTGTCAATATAAACCGCCGTTTGAGCAAAATCCAGTATCGCATCAGTGTGCCCCCAAGACGAAAGCTGAGAGACCTTGATCGGGCCAGAACTAGGCATGGCTGCAGGATGGAGTTGGAGCTCGAGAAGTTGCCAGAAGGCGTGCAATGTCACACTCTGTCATTGTCCGCTTGAGGCAGCGCGTCAAACCAGTGGATCAGTCCAAGAACGCCCACGTGCATGTCGACCCAAGAAGACCACTAAGAGTGTTGCAAGTGGTCCTTAACGTATGTTGAAAGCTGCAATATTGAATCATATGATGAAGAGAAATAACGTAATGCATTCCTCATTTTCGCTTGGTGCAATTTTTGTTTAATAGTGTAAAGCGCATAGAGCGGGGTTATGCGCTATACAAATGCTATGTATTATTATTATGGTTTACTCAAAAGTAGGTATGTTGAAATTCTGTGTCAGCATTCCAAAGCGCTATTGCTCGAGTTTATCATAATTTTGGTTTTCGCAAGACTCCCTCATGGGCATATAATTTTTTGCTGTTTGTTTGTTTTGTTTTTAATCTTGGAATTACAGAGCTCTTGTCTCAGGGGGAATGATGAAAAGATTCAACAAGTCCGTGTGTTTTATTTGTCGAAAACCAAGCTAGAATCATGCAGAAGCTGCAGTCTTCTTTCATGGCAAACTGGCCAGGAAGAGAGAAATAGAGAGAGGGAGAGAGAAAAAGAGAGGGAGAGAGAGAGAGAGAGAGAGAGAGAGAGAGAGAGAGAGAGAGAGAGAAAGAGAGAGAGAAAGAAGGGGGCAGGGGTGGGTGGGGAGATAAGGAAGAGAGATGAAAAGGAAGAGAGATGAAAAGAAAGAGAGAGGGAATGAGTGAGAGAGAAAAAAAAAAAAAAGAGAGAGAGAGAGAGAGAGAGAGAGAGAGAGAGAGAGAGAGAGAGAGAGAATACACATAGACAGACAGACAGGCAGACAGACAGAGAGGAGAGAGAGAGAGAAAGAAAGAGAGAGAGTGAAAGAGAGAGAGAGAGAGAGAGAGAGAGAGAGAGAGAGAGAGAGAGAGAGAGAGAGAGAGAGTAAGAGGATGATGGAGGGGAGAGAGAGGCGGAGTGGCGGAATCCAGCCGATTACATTGATACCCTCAAGATTCTTTGAGAAGAAAACAAAGACGGATTCTTAATTTATTTAATTAACTATGTCTTATGAGAATAATGTCTTTAACATTAATTTGTAAAAGATAAATATCAGAATAAAACGGTTTCTCTTTGACGTACATTGTGCTTCAGAAATAGAAGTAATTTCTCTTGCCCGTTTTATTGTACAGTGAAATGTGTGACGTTTAAAATATCTAGAGGTAATTTCCAAGCAATAAACATTCCTTAGTATTATTGCTTGTGATTCGTTTTTCTTTTTCTCGAAGGGTGTTTTGAGGTTTTGACATAGAGATCCTTTTTAATACTGAAAGTGTATTTAAGAGGCAGGACTTCTGAATTTAAACGTACTTCCGTGGTATGATATGAGTTGAAGACCTCGCCAAATAACCCAATCTCCAGAGTGCTCTGTTGTGGATTCATACCAAACCAAATTCCTCAGCATCACGTAATAGTGCAACTTCTATTTTACTAGAGAGTAGTGGGGGGGGGGGGGGTTGGGGGGGGGGCTCTTAATTATCCCCTCGAAACTTAGCTCTAGGAGATACGATTCACTCAGACGCATAGTACTGTATGTGTAATTTTTGCAAGGGAGAGGAAATTTTTATGTCGTTTTTGTTAGCTTACCTTTAGTCTTTTTTCTGTTCGCCACAGAGACACTCTGTATTTGTGACTTAATGCGTTTAATCTAAAAAAAAGTAGAGGTATTTGACGAAGAAGCAAAAGGCTACTCAGTTTAAAAATTACAAATCTGAGTCCTACGAAACGCCATTTTTCTTGCATTTCGAAGGCATAGCACTTTGTCTCGAGTCAAGACTGTAGCTAAGTGTTAAGAGACAGACAAATTAAATTCCATAATATAATTATAATGAGAGACGAGAAGAATTTTGATCCTTCTTGGATTCAAACCCATAACCTCCATGAGATGGTCAAATTATCAACCAACTGTACGACAACTGCCTATCAAACAAACAAACAAACAAAAACAAAAAAAGAAAAGAACTGGTGTACTCAAAAATTCCCATGTTTCCATCAGAAGAACTGGCTTCACTTTCCATAGTCAGGAGACTAAAAGAAAAATGCCAAATAAAGGTTGAAAATTTTTATACCCAGCCTGGGACATTTTTCGGTATGTCATCACTGACAAGAGTATTAAGGAACCCGATTCTACACTAAACGATTGATGAAAAGTCACAACAAAATAAATGCCTATTACTGTAAGGTACACGCAACAGATAACATGAAGAGTTACTATAAACTGGATCATTTGACGTAAATTTCGGCGCAAGGGAGGCAACAAACAGTGGCTTTATTTTTCTGTTGTGTTGCTTCCCTTGGTAATTTTTTTCCGATCATAAGAATGACTCGGATAGCAGCTTTCAACATTTTCTTATGGGCATGTCTTAGTATTATTTTTATTTTTTGCTGGGTGGGGAATTTTTTTTCCTCCGAATAAACCCCTGGTCAAAGATCCCATCAATGAATTGAGGAGGGGAGACCAATCCATAATCTTCCAACTAAGAACACATGTGCCCCTCAATCAACATCTCAACCGAATTTGAATAAAGCAGTCTGCTGCCTGCCCACTATGTGATTACCCTTCAGAGACAGTGGAACATAATCTGTTCTTCTGGCGTTAAATAGCCGATCGGGGGGGGGGGGAGTTTTCTTCATCAGCAACCCAAAACATCTAACTGCCTCTACTCCTCAAGACAGCAATTAGAACAGACTGGCATCATGCAGAAGAGATAACGCTCAGATGCTACTGGATCGCTAACAACAACAACAAAGACAACAACAACAGCAACAACAACATTTTTTCTGTCGTGTGTATGTATGTGTTTTTAAAGCATCCATGTACACGCATATATTTACAAATCCTGTCTTGTTGTGGCTCTTGCACCTCGTATCACAATAAAGGTGCCGTTATTACACAGCGCAGCAGCTCTTACGACTTTCGGAAAGATAGAAGTGTATAGTGCACTTTACCTCTACAGACGTACTAAATAATGTTTCTTAAAACAGATAAAGACTTATACTTTTGTTCCTGTCATGGGTAACTTCCAAAGACAGTGATAGTACTAGTATGATCTGTCACAAAGTCCGTCAGTCGGTCAGTTGTTCAGTCGATCTCACTCTCTCTCTCTCTCTCTCTCTCTCTCCCTCTCTCCCCCTCTCTCTTTCTTTCTTTGTCTCTCGCTCACTGATTTATTTTTTTCTCTCCTCATTTCTGTCTTTCTCTGCCTCTCTCTCTCTCTCTCTCTCTCTCTCTCTCTCTCTCTCTTTCCAACTCTGTAAGCGCGCGCGCCGTGTGTGTGTGTGTGTGTGTGTGTGTGTGTGTGTGTGTGTGTGTGTGGGTGTGATAAGGGGAAGAGGATGAGAAAGAAAGGAGAGGAGGTTGGAGAGAAAGCGAAGAGACAGAGAAAGAGAGAGATAATTTGAAAAGACATGCAGGGTTTTCTCTGCAGCCGTCAGTACCACATCATACATTCGAATACGACAGGATTATTCTATACACGATAGAATCCAACTGTATTAAGTCTAAGGGAGACCCACGGAAATCAAGATATATAGGTACATTTATGATAGACTGAGAGAGCACTGAGTCGTTATTCATCAAGCAGTCTTTTACTATTCTATCGGTAACATTATAATAAGTATCAAATTATTACATAATAACAATTGTCATCATTATTACCCATCAATATGGGGCATGAATTTCAACAAACTTTTCAAAATACAACAGTTGTTACGACCGGGACCTCCGATAAGACCTAGCAGTGGGCCCCGAAAACAACACAGACAATCCCAGCTCGTTGATGATAATTGCCTGAACCACAGCCAAGCGTGATACATCCGTTAAGCGGCGATGGTCTAATGCACACATTGTCAACCGCTTTATTATAGCCAGCGCTCACTTTTGCCACATTTGAACGGCTGCAATTTTTGTATCGCTCAACTACATGTATATTATACAGTATTAACAGTCGGCATTAAAATAACACCTGTCACTGCCCAGGCGGTACCCACTGCCCACCAAAATTACCTAATCGCCCGCTTGTAGACGATACGCCCAGGTTGGCTAATACACTAGTAGCCTACTAGAGAGATCATGGGTTCGAGCTCCGTCAGGGGCCCAATATTGTATCCAGTGGCGGGGCGCCATTGGTGCAATTGGTGCATGTGCTCCACCTAACCCTGGCCTTCACCCCCCCCCCCCCCCCCCCCCCCACTCCTTCTAATTGTTCTGAACGGCTCCGGTTCTAAACCAGTCAGTGCTCTAGATCTGCATTACTACATCCTTGCGATCCGTCACCCGCTGGCTGCGCCAGTGAAGAGACATACGGCGAGGATGGTTTATGCTCGTCGCACCGCTTGCGGTAGTGTCTGCTGGGAGCAAGCAAAATCTTTGCACCAAAGTTATTTTTGTCACTGTAGGGAAATCTAGGCATCGTTTGTCCCGCACAAGAGGAAAGGTGCATGAAACTGCTCTTCGCAGTACAGAAAGGTGCATGAAACTGCTCTTCGCAGCACCAATTTGGTGCAAGCTAAAAATTTGATCCAAGTTTCCGCGAGCCTATCTACTATCACTATTCTACTAATAGAGTCTATGGCAACTCAATGAAGAATGGGTATCGAAACTGTTGTCTCCCTCTATTGTATAGCAAGTTCTGGTGCTGCACGAAGTAATTAGAACATCTTCTCAGATTGTGAGCATAGAGAGTTGTTAGTTTTGTTTCACTTTATTGCAGCTTTTATGCGGTTTCATCCAGAAACAGTTGTAAATATCGGTAGATTTAGATTACTGGATATCCTGCAGATTCTAATTGACTTTCTCCAGAAATCTTAATAGTAGCTACTAAGCCTATTGTCCTTTTGCTAACTTTCTAATTTTGCACCACCTTGTCTGCAACCCACGCGACGCCACTGATTGTATCCTAGGGACAGGAACTTTACACACAATTTCCTTACTTTACATTGGTGGGAACGGGTACTCAGCAATAGACGGTCAAAGGTCCTGTCAGTTTGATAGTGTTTGAGCACTTAATAAGCTTTCAGCGCTACAAGCGTACCGGGAAGACGAAATTTTTCCTAGTGATTTTGGGTCTACTGGGGTAATAGTAATACAGGCTACATCATGTAGCTCTAAACCGCATAGAAAACGCTGTACGACAAAGGCATGCGCTATTAAAATGACTATTATAAATGGTTATTATTATTATCATGATTACATCGAGCCTTCAATAGACACGGGAGGCTGGAGGTAGGTCCAACTTCTTATTTCTATAATATCCACCATGACAGTGTTGTCCTGCTTTTTTTCAAAACGTTGATGAGACAATTCACCTTGAGACGGGCTCCAGGCCCTCCGATAGATTTTAAAAGAAACATTACAACCAAACAAATGAAGACAACAATATATATATATATATGAAAAACTCTACACAAAAGATGAATGGTTTTTATGCTATGATTTATTACTGGCCACAGGACAGACTGGAACAACTCGACTGCTCAACTTAAGATAACACATTTGAAAAATGCATCTGAAAGATTGTTTGTTTCATGTTGTTTTTTTCCCATGCAAAGGTTGATAAAAGCAAAATAAAGCAAGTTGTTTAAGGTACTATACGCAATCAAAGGCATGCATTTTGAAATAAAGCTTATTTTCCAAAGTCCACAATATGTTTTCGTTTCATGATAGATTTGGTCAAAGTGTAACAATTGTGAGGTGGGGAATATGGTCATCAGATTGTTTGATACTCAAGCTACGAGTTAATGTTCGTGGGTTTTTCTAAAACTCAAAAGAACAAAACAAGTATAGTTTCCTTTGGTGAATGATATGACAAATAAGGTGAAAATATCCATTATATAATATATAAAAATTGAGAAAAGCGTTTGAGCAAATTAACTGGAATTCCCTTGTAATGTGAGAGCTTACAAATAAAATGGTGCCATGACTGCGTGTTTCTGAGTGAATAAAAGCGAGAAAAACCCCCCCAAAAAAACTGCATAGGTTTTGTATAATGGCATACATATTTTTATAAACCTAGAAATTGTATGATGACGGAATCTAACACCAAATTCACAACTCATAAGCTCTCTCTCTCTCTCTCTCTCTCTCTCTCTCTCTCTCTCT